GAAAAGATGCAATGCATTGGGCAAATCTGCTGCAAAAGACCTCTTTAAAGTGTTAAAAAGCAAAGATGTCACCTTGAAGATTAAGGTGCGCCGTGGTGTTTTCAGTTGCCTCATATGCGCGCAAAAACTGGACAGTGAATAAGGAAGACTGAAGAAGAATTGACGCCTTTGAGTTGTGATGTTGGTGGAGAATATTGACTATACCATGGACTGCCAAAAGAATGGACAGATCTATCTTGGTAAAAGTACAACCAGAATGCTCCTTAGAAGCAAGGATGGAGAGACTACGTCTCACATACTTCGGACATGTTACCAGGAGGGATCAGTCGCTGAGGAAGAACATCATGCTTGATAAAGTAGAGGGTCAGCGAGAAAGAGGAAGAACCTCAACGAGATAGATTGATACAGTGGCTGCAGCAATGGGCTCAAGCATATCAGTGATTGTGAGGATGACGCAGTGTTTCTTTCTGTTGTACGTGGGGTTGCTATGATTTGGAACCAACTCGACGGCACCTAACAACAAAACAACTGGTTGCATTAAAAAAGTAAAAAGAAACGGGTGAAATTCATTTGAATAAATATTTAACCAAGTATATCCAAAATGCAATCAACATAAAAATATTGAGATTTTAAAAATTTTAACTTTTTTTAATCAAAGTGAAATTCACATCACATATAATTAACCATTTTAATGTGTACAATTCAGTAACATTTAATACATTCACAGTGTTGTACAACCATCACCACTACCTCATTCCAGAATATTTTCATTACATCAAAAGAAAATCTGGTACCCATTAAGCAGTCACTTCCCATCCTCCTCTACCCCAGCTTCTGTGCTGTCTCTATGAATTTATCTATTATGGACATTTCATACGAATGGAATCATGCAGCATGCGATCCTTTGAGTCTGGCTTCTTTCACTCAGTGTAATGTTTTTGAGGTTCGTCCATGTTGTAGCATGTATCAGTACTTCATTTCTCTTTATGGCTGAGTAATATTCCATTGTATGAATGTATCACATTTAGTTTATCCATTCATCTGATAATGGACACTTGAGTTGTTTCCACCTTTTGTCTGTTGTGAGTAATGCTGTAATGAACATTGGAGCACAAGTATCTGTTTGAGTCCTGCTTTCAGTTCTTCTGGATATACATCTGGGAGTGGAATTGCTGGGTCTCATGCTAATTCCATGTTTAACTTTTTGAAGAACCACCAAATTGTTTTCCACAGTGGCTATACCATTTTACAGTCCCCCCAGCAATAGACAAGGGTTCCAACTTCTTTACATCTTCACCAACATTTCTTTTTTTTTTTTATTGTTGTTGTTATAGCTGTCCTAGTGGGTGTGAAGTAGTATCTCATTATGGCCTATTTTTTTCTTTTATTGTATTTTTAGCAAAAGTTTACACAGCAAATTAGGTTCCCATTTAACGGTTTCTATACATATTGTTCAGTGACATTAGTTACATTTTTCACAATGTGTCAGCATTCTCATTATTTCCATTCTGGTTGTCCTGTTTCCATTGATCTAGCTTCCCTGTCCCCGCTTACCTTCTTATCTTTGCATCTTTGCTTTAGGGTAATTATTGACTGTTTAGTCTCATATACTTGATTATTTAAGAGGGCACAGTACTCACCAGTGATGTTGTTTATTTTATGAGCCAATCTATTATTTGGCTGAACGATGACCTCTGGGAGTGGCTTTGGTTCCAAGTTAAAACGGTATCTCAAGGCAATAGTCATTAGGATCCTCTAGTCTCTACTAGTCCAGTAAGTCTGGCCTTTTATAGGAATTTGAGGTTTGTTCTATATTTTTCCCCATTCTATCCGGGGCCATCTATTATGTCCCTGGTCAGAATGTTTGTCAGTGGTAACTGGGCACCATCTAGTTCTTCTGATCTCAGGATAGATGAGGCCGTGGTTCGTGTGGGCGATTAGTCTTGTAGACTAGTTTCTTCTTTGAGTCTTTGGTTTCCTTCTTTCTCTTTTGCTCCTGATGAGTACAGACCAATAGTTGTATCTTACATGGCCGCTTGCAAGCTTCTAAGACCCCAGACGCCACTAGCCAAACTAGGGTGTAGAACAATATCTTTATGAACTGTGTTATGCCAATTGACCGAGTTGTCCACCAAGACTATGGTCCTAAGCTTTCAAACCCAGTGTGGTGCAGTGAATTACTTAATATGGCCCTTCTAGCCATGGTCTTTGTGACTCACAGTGATTGAGTGAGACCATGCAAATAAGGTGTATGAAACCCTAACGAGGGGATTGGTCAGTTTCACTATCCCACTGGGCTTAAAATGAGCCATCCTAGAGGTGAGAAGAGAGGATCTCACCACCACCAAGAAAGAAGAGGCAGGAGAAGAGTGCGTCCTTTGGACCTGGGATCCCTGTGCTGAGAAGCTGTGGAACCAGGAGACCGAGAGAGAGAGAGAGAGAGAGAGAGAACTATAACACTGAAGATGGCAACCAGTGGTGGCAGAGGCAGGAGACCAGCAGGAGATGGTGTGGTGGGCTTCCTGGCCCACAGAGCGAGAAAGCTGGGCACCTTCAGGCAGGAGGTTTGCTGGCAGAGTAGGGGGCCTCTGGACACTTGGTGGAGCTAGGTTTGCTGACCCATGGAGCTAGAGCTGAGTGCCTTCAGGCCGAGGCTTACTGGCAGATGTCCAGAGGCATCTGGGCACTTATCAGCAAGCTAGAAGAGCTCCGTAACACTTGCCCGAGCAGGGCAGAGGCCAAGGGGCCAGAGAGAGGTGTGCCTGCAGCACAACTGAGAAGAAGCTCTCCTGATTGAAGAACTGTATCCTGTGTGTTCCTGAACCTGAATTATAACCTGTTATTTCCCTAATAAACCCCATAATAGTGAGTATGGTCTATGAGTTCTGTGTGGCCATTGCAGTGAATTATCAAACCCAGCAGAGAAGTAGAGACTGCTGTGGGAGGGACAGTTGGTGTCAGAATTGGTAAATAAGTTGGAGGGTGGAGGCATGTCTGACCTCTGCCTCATGGGAATCAGCCGTGGGCTGTGGATCTTGATTCCCCTTCCCCCTTGTGAAGTTAGAGGAGGTCAGATGCCCCCACCACACCATTTTTACACCCAGTAAACCAATCCTGTGAGGTGTTTGGTTATTTCTAGGAAGTACAGTCAGCCCTCCGTATCCGCAGGTTCCGCATCAGTGAATTCAATCAACGTGGATGGAAAATATTAAAAAAAAAAAAAAAAAGCAAGTTCCAAAAAGCAAAATTTGAATTTGCTGTGCTTAGAGCACTACACTGAATCCAAGCAAATGAAGTGCTGTGTAGGCATCCCCTGCTGTAGCCTACCGCCATTTTACAGATCCTCAGTCTCTCTCCGGCACTGGTTGTTTGAGCACTCTTTGCCTCTCGACTCGTTAGTTCGCTGCTTGTGTTGTGTGCACACTTTGTTTCTGTGAAAAAATGGCTCCTAAAAAGCAATGAAGTGGTCAAAGCAATCCCTCAAAGGCTAAGTGTAAGGGGGTTGAGGAGAACGAGAGGAAGAGTTTCAGGCTAGTAAGGGATGGCTGCCAGCTCTGTAAAGCGCTGCAGCCTCCAGAACTTCAAGGTCACGGGAGAATCAGCATTGGCTGATGCCCAGGCAGCATCAGCGTTCACGAAAAACTCCAGAAACTCGTAGAAGAGAAAGGTTACCTTCCAGAGCAAGTCTTCAATTGTGATGAAACAACTATTTACATTGTATTAGGTATTATAAGTAATCTAGAGATGATTTAAAGTATACTAGAGGACGTGCGTAGGTTATATGCAAATACTATGCCATTTTATATAAGGGGCTTGAGCATCTGTGTGGGGTCCTGGAACCTCTCCCCTGTGGCTACTGATGGAAGACTGTATATGCAACTGTGCCCTTATGTGCTTTATTATATAAATAAATATATATGCAGCACACACGAACATGTATATACATATGTCTATAGATACGCCTATACACGCACACCCATATACTCAAACATGTGCCTTTCTATACACATATATGCATACATATCTACCTTTGTAACCACATACATATTTTTGGTTGTTATTACTAATGTTGCAAAATTGTATATGTTATAGTGTTTTCCAAAATTGTCCCTTATTTTTGTGTACTTCTTAGTGTCATCATTTACCAGTATTGGGTATTACCTTCCCATCACCAAAAATAACACGTGTCTACTATCTTCCCATCTCTGGTAGCCGTCAAAGAACGTTGCTTTCTGTGTGTATACCTATTCTTGTCTTTTTATAAAAGTGAGACCATGTAATGGTTGTCCCTTTGTGATTGACTTATTTTACTCAGCATAATGTCCTCCAGATTCATCCATGTTATGTTATGAGGACTCATCATTATTCTCTATAGCTACGTAGTATTCCACTGTGTATATGTACCACACTTTGTTTCTCCATTCATCTGCTGATGGGCACTTAGGTTGTTTCCATCTTTTTGCTATTGTGAATAACGCTGCCATGAACATAGGTGTGCATGTCTGTTCATGTGACTGCCATTAGGTCTCTAGGGTATATAGCTAGGAGTTGGATTGTTGGATCATAAGATATTTCTATTTCTAGCTTTTTGAGGAAGTGCCATACTGTTTTCCATAGTGGTTGTACTTGTTGTGATTTATTAAATTAAATGTTTTACACCCATTTTTTCTCATAGGAAATCTTTGAAATCCTGTGTGTGTTTTATATCCACAGCACATCTCAGTGTGGACCAGCCACATTTCAAGTGCCAAATAGCCCCATGGACCTGGTGGCTGTCGTGTTGTATGGCACAGACTGGCTGACCATATGACTTGACAGCTGTCTGCCTGCCTGCTGGGCATTATTTCTCATTTGCCTCAAAGCAGGACAGTGACAGGGTCCTGGGAAGTTGGTGGTAGCACTGGACTCAGGCTCAGGGCCCACTATTCTGCGTCACCTTGCAGAATGCATGAAGCTGGAATGGGAGTGTGTGACTGACGCTCTTATCCTCTGACTTTCAGGCCAGGTGAACCGTCTGCCCTTCTTCACCAACCACTTCTTTGACACATACCTGCTGATCAGTGAGGACACGCCCGTGGGTGAGTTGGCACAAGGGCTGATGGTCATGGAGTGGGTTGGGGTGGGCTACTTTCCCGGAAGTGAAGAGGATCTTAGCGGTTGAGACCATGTTTTATTTATTAGACTCTCTTCCATGGCATTCCTGACAGGTGTTCATCCAGCCTCTGCTTGAATGCCTCCAGGGATGGGGCACTCAGTACTTCTGGTGGTGGTCCATTCCATTAGTGGGGAGTTCTAAGTGTCAAAGAATTCATCAAATTGAGCACAAATTGTGGCTCATTTCTCTTCCATGTGAAGCCCTTGAAGGTATTTGAAGATGGCAGCTGTCCGAGAATTTGTTTTGTGGCCTTTTGTTCTTTTCTGTGATTAAGTTTTCTGCATTAAATACGCCTGTTTTTGCCATTAGAAAAAAATGGACTGTTCAGGAGATGACCACAAGCATCCTGGTGTCCCCACCCCCACATCACCTAGATCTGTCTTCATGGGCCCCTCTCGTGGCCTTTCTCCTATGCCTACAATGCAAGATGTGTGCTGTGTAGCCTCATGGCCCTAGCACACCTCTAGGGACAAAGAAGCTTCTCAGGAAATGATAGTTGAATCCGATGGACGCATCTTGCAGCCGTGCCTATGAGAGGGAGGTGGCATTCTGGGCATTGATGCCTGTGAACAAGCATACAAATAAATGGCACCCAAAAAAGCCTCCCCTCTCCAACCAAAACTCTGTCGTCCATCCTCCAATGCTTGTCAGTGTCCTTTTAGGGAAGGTGCCTGTGGTATTTCTTCAGCTCAGGTCTGTGAATGCTTACTTTGGGTTTAAGGGCAGTGGCTATGTGCCATAGTCATTGTGAGTCAAGGCATCAGCGTGATGCATCTTTGTGGAGCATCGCTTGAACTTGAAAATGGGGAGGATGGTTTGGAGAGGGGATGGGGTATTAAGATATTTCACTAATTGTTGTTGTTAGCTGCCGTCGAGTCGGCCCCAGACTCATGATGACCCCATGCACAATGGGATCAGACCTTTGTGATCCATAGGGTTTTCAGACAGATCATTTAAAACATTCTGATATAAAACCAAATGTGGATGTATGATAGAGTAGATGCAACATTCTTCAAAGGAAGTCTTTGCTTGAGGTGGGGAACTCTAGGCAGCCTCAGACTCTCCCCTGCTGTTCATGGGGCAGTGCAAGCAGCCCATGAAGAGGTCTTTCCTTTCGCTCTTCCTGGTGGATCTTTTGTGCACGTGGGTGCTGGGCACAGCAGGTGTGTTCTGCGGTGTTGTGGGGCTTGTCCTCACGGTCCAAACCTGTTGCCATTGAGTTGATTTCAATTCAGCTATAGGACTTCCCCATAGGGTTTCCAAGGAGCAGTTGGTGGATTCGAACTGCCGACCTTTTGGTTAACAGCCGAACTCTTAACCACAAAAATACCACAAGTGGATGACTTTAAAGAACAGACATTTATTTTCTTACAGTTTAGGAGACTAGAAGTCTGAATTCTGGCACTGGCTCTAAGGAAGTCTCTCTCTATTGGCTCTGGGGGAAAAGCTTTTGTCTCAGCTTCTGTTGCTCCAGCATTCCTCAGTTTCTTGGTGATATTTACATGGCATGTGTCTTCCATCCCACCCCCGCCCCCACTGGTGCTTTCGCCTGTGTCTGATCTACTCTTTTTGTAACTCAGAAGTGACTAGGTTTAGGACACACCCTTCGCTGATATATCCCAACTAACATAACAAAGAAAACCCTATTCCCAAATAGGATTGTATCCACAAATATAAGGGTTAGGATTCCAACACATATTTTGGGGGGACACAGATCCAGCAATAACACCATTTTAACCTCACCCTCTGTCTTAGTCATCTAGTGCTGCTATAACAGAAATACCACAAGTGGATGGCTTTAACAAAGAGAAATTTATTTTCTCACAGTCTAGTAGGCTAGAAGTCCAAATTGAGGGTGTCAGCTCCAGGGAAAGGCTTTCTCTGTCTGTGGGCTCTGGAGGAAGGTTCTCATCATCATCAGTCTTCCCCGGATCTAGGAGTTTCTCTGCGCAGGAACCTTGGGTCCAAAGGATGCCGCACTCTGCTCCCGGCACTACTTTCTTGGTGGTATGAGGCCCCCCCCCCCACTCTCTGCTTGCTTCCCTTTCCTGTTATCTCTTGTAAGATAGAAGGTAGTGTAGACCACACCTCAGGGAAACTCCGTTTACATTGGATCAGGGATGTGACATTAGTAAGGGTGTTACAATCCCACCCTAATCCTCTTTAACATAAAATTACAATCACAAAATGGAAGACAACCACACAATACTGGGAATCATGGCCCAGCCAAATTGATACACATATTTTTGGGGGGACATAATTCAATCCATGACACCCTCCTAGAGAGTCCTTTGGGGTAGAGGGAGTATATTTGGGGCAGGTGGGCCCATTGAGGCAAATGTATGACCAGCCACTAATGGACCAGGGCTGCTGGCTGAGGAGATGAAGGTCTCTCCTAGGTGAGCGGTACTGGCACCATCTGAGACCTCGCATTGTTCCTTTCACCCTGGGCATGGGGTCCTCAGAGGCCTGTGCTTCAGGGGAGGTGATAGGGTGGGATGGTGTGGGTTGGGTATTGCTTGGCCAGTGCTGGTGGTGACAAGCCCTGGGCTGATGCCCACCTTCTGCAGGCCCTGCTCCAGACCTTTGGCTCTGACCGTTGATTGTCTTTTGCAAACACCAGGTGGTATTGATTGGCCTCCAGGAGCAATTCCCAGGATTCGGACACTTTAAGGCTGCACTTGGCCGTCATAATGAGGGTGTCCATTTGGTGCAATGGGGATTGATCTCTGGCTCCAGGGGGCCATAGGAGCGAGAGGGAACTTAGTGAGCTGGAAGACAGCTCTGCTTATCTCTCTGGGCAGGAGGTGGGTGGGTGCACCTGAGATGGGTCCCACTGGCCCAGCACCCTACCAGCCTTTTTCCTTCCTTTTGCATCAGGATGGGGCAGCAGAGACAGGCCTAAAAGTCATGAGCCCAGTTTTTGCTCCTTGCTGTGTGACCTTGGGCATAACACCTCCCCTCTCTGGGCCTCTACCTCCACATCTCATCAATGAGAGGCATGGGAAAGATGGGCCCAGTGAGCTTTGGCTTGGGCAGCCTGGCAGGCCCCAGGGGTCTTCAGGTCCTTGGACGAGACAGGCTTGGGGACCTCTATTGAGGGCTGGCCACCACATGGCCCTGGAACTTCATGGGATAGTTCCAGGTACTGTCCCTGACCAGCAATGGCCAGAGTGAGGGTTGGAAGGGCTTGTCCCAGGGACTTGCCCTTCATCTGCCTTGTGGTATGCGATGGCCTAGAGACTTGACCTGGAGGCTTGCTTCTCACTAACCCTTTGCTCTCTGAATCTCAGTGTTCCAACCTGCAAAATGAGGATGGGATATTCACCTTACTGGGTAGTTGGGATGTTTACTCACAATTCTATTAGCTCCAAAGCCACCACATCTGGAATGCTTTGTTACTGAAGTCAGAGCCTGTGTGTCATCCTGGTAATGGCTGGTTGGGGTGGGGTTCCTGCCAGCCACTGGCTTGCGATTGGGGTAGTGCAGAGAAGCCCATAGATGAGGTGGGTCCAATGTGGTGGTCAGTGCCAAGCCAGAGGCAGAACCCAAGTCTGGAGTGGTCAGCTCACCAGAGGAGGTCATAGCTGTGGGCTCCAGGTCAGATTGTCCACCTTCTGCTTGGACCCCTCCAGTGACAGGGAGCTCAGGATCTTACAAGGCAGCTCACTTCTGCACCGTAGGACAGTTTCTGGCATAAATTTTTCCTAGTAGCAATATAAAATCTTCCTCCCTGGAGCACCTATCCATTGGACCTAATTGTGACTGCTGGAGCCTTACATACTAATATTAATGCTACCACTAATAATAACAATAACATTATTATAATTATATGACAGATTATATATGTAATAGATATTATTATAACAACATTTATTGAGTACTTGAGGTCAAGTACTAAGTGTTTTTATGTATTAATTTATTTTTTTAAATTTCCTTTATGAATTGGAGATGGAGTTTGGCTATAGGCTCTAATATGTAGTTTGCAGTATGAGTTTCTGTGAATACACTCTCCTGGGTTGAAGACTGGGACTTTAATCCACCTTAGACCTTCGGAGCCTCTCCATTTTTTATGCTCTTGCCTCAATTCCCAGCACGGGGCCAGTGGCCTGATGCTCAAGAGTGGATGGGGGCATGGCAGGGCCATCTGAAATCCCTTGCAGAGGCTGCACTTACTGTTAGTATCTCCTCACCTATCTTGGGCTCCAATTCCCTCTGTACAGTGTTCTCTTTGAAGACCAATCTCCCAGTAGAAGACAGAGCAAAATGAAGTCATTAAGTAGCTTTGCCTTTCCCGAAAGGGTGAAAGGGTCCGTTAACATTGCTGACTTCCTCAGACAGCCCCCTCTCCCACCCCGTGTATGTCTTACTTCAGATTTGAACATCAGTCGTTGGCGGCAGAGCCTGGCCTAGGCAGGGCAGAACAAGGGCAGAACAACAGTTCAATCCATGGTCAGGCTGGGTGGTATCGTCCACCTCTGGTTATCAGCACTGAGTGGCCACATGTGCCTTTAGGATGAGGGACACCCCTGCAGGGTGCTGTCTCCAGTTCACCTCCTGAATCCATTTCAAACACTATACTAATAGTACTCACGTCCAGATCACCAGTGACCTCCACATCACTGAATCCAGTCATTAATTCTCAGACCTTATGACCTTCTAGTGGTTGATCTTGTCCTGCTCCTTGAAACACTTTCTTCCCTAGGCTCTCGGGACATCACACTCTCCTGGTTCTTCCTAACTCTCTTGCTGCTCCTTCTCAGTCTTCCTTTGCTGATTCCCTTATATCTCCTCAACACCTCTTAACATGGGAGGGCCTCAGGGCTCAGCTCTTGTATCTTCTTTCTTTATTTTGTTGTCGTTCAGAGTATACACAGCCAAACATACATCAATTCAAGAGTTTCTACATATACGATTCAGTGA